AGTCGGCCACGACTGGACCTAATGGTCAGGGGTCCCTTTACCTTTACCTAGGATAGCAGAAGCTGTGTCTGAGAGCTACGGAAACACCGTTTACCTAGGTTGGCAGGAGCAGGGACAGAGCAACGGGAGCTCACCCCGTCGCGGGAATTTGAACCGCCGACCTTTCTGATCGGCAAGTCCTAGGCTCAGTGGTTTAACCCACAGCGCCACCCGTGTTATTAGCTTTACTGCCATGCTAATAAATCCTTACGCACTGGCACACCACTGCTGATAAAACTCTGCTGTAGCCGGGAGAAGCGGAATGACTCAGAGCCGCGTAGCAGGAGTGTGCTGGACACCATCGCGTTTCCAAGGGAAGATGGGTCTGACAATCAAAAACAGACAAGTCAGTTTCCAGTTTCACTCAACAGGTGACTGGTAACACTTCGCAATAAATACCCTGCAGCAGCCTCTGGACCTGGAGGAGGAACGAACTCTGCACGCGCTCAGGAGCACGTCGTGGCGGCGCCCACTCACCGGCGTTGTTGACGAGCAAAAGCCACTCCACCGGCCCGTCTCTGCAGAGCTCCCAGGTGGTGTGCGCCACGCACTGCAGCCTGTCAGCGGGCAGGCTTCGCACGTGGAGCACCGGGCAGGCGGTGCGCAGCTCACCCTCCATCTGCCTCCAGCACGGCCGTTGAGCGTGCCACCAGCAGCAGCGCTGAGCCGGGCACCAGGGGCCAGCAGGCATGCCAACCTCCGGCTGAAGCCCTGCAACGCGCCCGCCAAGATGCCCATGGCGCAGCCCAGACCCAGCGCCCTCCTCTCCGTCCATGGCTGCACCGGGTTTACTTCAGCGTGCAGGCGGCAAGGCTGCGGATTGGTTGCAGGAACTTCCTACAGTGTGATTGCCTGGGATTTGGACTCAGAGGCTGAACCTGAGGAATCCCAGCCTGCACAGGATTCCCCGCCTCCAGAACCAGCTGAGCCCGGGGCTGGGGCTTGAGCCTGAAGGGTCCTCACCTGTGCTGGATCCTCAGGTGCAGGCACCAGCTGAGTCTGCTCTGGCTCCGGAGGTGATCGAGGACCCATTGCCTGCAGCAGCCCCATCAGGGGAAGCTGAGGTTGCCTCTGGGTCCGGTAACCCTCCAGCCTCTCCTGAGCTGCAGAGGCTCAGGGCAGAGAGGCAGAGGGAACTAAGTTCCCGCAGGAGGAGTGCTCGCCTCCAGGCCAGGAGAGGCCAGTCACCTGTGGACCAGGGCTGCCCTATGCCTCAGGGCAGATAAAAAGCCAGTCAGCCCCAGTCCCAAGTTGTGGGAGCAACGTTGGTGGTATCCCTGTTCCTGCCTGCACCCTGTCCTGCTCTTCTGCCAGAGTTCCTGACCACACCCGACTCCCTGCCTTGGACCCAGCTTCAGCTTTGACGGACAGCCTCCATACCACACCCTCAACCTTGGACTGGACTCGGACCTCGCCTCTCGGTTAGCCCCCGGGACCAGCACATACAGCCAATCTGAAGCCGTGCCAGCATCGCATAAGTCAGTCCCCGTGCGGCAAGGCATCCGCAGCGCGGGGGGACTGATTGAGCGGGTGGCAGGGTCCATGGGCCGGATTTACGAGCCTGGGGGGGCCGCATCTGGTTCCCAGTTTGCTGACCCCTGTTCTGAAGCAAGGAGGCCATAACCTCATCACCTACTTCACAGGGTTGTTGTGGGGATTAACCAAGGAGGGGAATGAACCATGGAGTCCTTGGAGGAAAAGGATTCAATAACTAAGTTCTTCTGCTCACCTGGCTCAAGGAAGCCAGAGGGAGATGTCAGTCGCCGACTTGGCATCCAGCGATCTCCACAGTTGGATGTGCACCAGTTGCAAAACGTGCCTGGCCCCCGGTTAATTTCTAGCGCTGGGCCCATTACGCAGCACCGACTACCGAGAGCCAGAGCCGTACGAAGGAAAGCGCTTACCGGGGTTGGGTGGCCTTCCAGGTCGCAGTCGATTTTCCTCAGTTTCAGCAGATCGGACTCGTTGAGGTAGCCGGCCTCAGCCCAGGCAGCATAGAGCACAGGAGCAGCATGGCCCTGCTCAGGGATTGAGGAAGCACAGAAATAGCAGGGGTCACCCTTTGCCCAGAGGAAGGAACCTCCTGCTTGCAGCCCTCATAATGCATTGTGGTGTTTGTTTTTGTACTGCATTTTTACGATGTGAACTGCCCCAAGATCGACAAATGAAGGGCGGCGGACAAATTTAATAAATGAAAATAAATTAACAAACAATGGGGAGGCGCTGTGGCAAGCGAGGCAGCAGAAGGGGAAGGCCAGAGGCATGGTGGTCAAGATGTTCAAAGGGCAAGGAATCGCAGGTGAACCCAGGGACCCCCTTGGGCTTTGGGGAGACGAGAGAGGGGACCTGCTTGCAGCTAGCTCACTCTGGTCCCTGGACAGTTCCAGGGTCAGCTTTTGCCCGCTGGGCACACCTCAAGATGTCTTGGACTATAATTCCCATCAGCCTCATCCAGCACAGCGTGACCATTGCTCATTTCTCTTTTTTGAAGACAGAGGTCCTTTGGCTTGGTTGGGACAATATGGGATTGGGGGGGGCAACTCCCATCTCTTGCGGGGGCGCAATTAGTGCCAGCACCGTCCGTTAAGAGTTTGGGTGTAATCTTCGACACCTCCCTTTCCATGGAGGCGCAGATTGCAGCTATAACAAAGGCAGCATTTTTCCATCTCCGCCAAGCTAAGCAGTTGGCTCCTTGCCTCTCTCGCCCTGACCTAGCCACTGTGATCCACGTGAAGGTCACCTCCAGACTGGATTATTGTAACTCGCTCTACGTGGGGCTGCCCTTGAGACTGACCCAGAAACGCCAGCAGGTGCAGAATGCTGCAGCGAGACTCCTTACGAGGTCTTCACTGCGAGATCACATTCACCCGGTGCTATACCAGCTGCACTGGCTCCCGGTGGAGTACAGGATCAGGCTTAAGGTGCTGGTTTTAACCTTTAAAACCCTATACGGCCTAGGACCCTCATACCTACGGGACCGCCTCTCCTGGTATGTCCCACAGAGGAACTTACGGTCTTCAAACAAAAACATCTTGGAGGTCCCGGGCCACAGGGAGGTTAGGCTGGCCTCAACTAGCGCCAGGGCTTTTTCGGCTGTGGCCCCGATCTGGTGGAACGCTCTGTCCCAAGAGACTAGGGCCCTGCGGGACTTGACATCTTTCCGCAGGGCCTGCAAGACAGAGCTGTTCCACCAGGCCTTTGGCCAAGGCACAGTCTGACCCCCCTCCTTCGGTAATTCACATTAGCCCAATGGTTGCCATCAATTTGATTTTGAATTGATTTTAGAATGGATTTTAGAATGCATGTCAATCAATTGATTGTAATTTTATGTAAACTGTGTTACTTTTATTGTTGTTAGCCGCTCTGAGCCTGGCTGGGGAGGGCAGGATATAAATAAATAAATAATTGTTTTTTATTTAATAATAATAATAATAATAATAATAATTATTATTATTATTATTATTACAGTAGTACCTCGGGTTAAGTACTTAATTCCTTCCGGAGGTCTGTTCTTAACCTGAAACTGTTCTTAACCTGAAGCACCACTTTAGCTAATGGGGTCTCATGCTGCTGCCACACCGCCAGAGCACAATTTCTGTTCTTATCCTGAAGCAAAGTTCTTAACCTGAAGCACTATTTCTGGGTTAGCAAAGCCTGTAAACTGAAGCGTATGTAACCCGAGGTACAACTGTATTATTATTATTATTTTCCCTCTCTCATGGGAATTGTAGTCCAAGACATCTGGAGGAGCGCCCAGCGGGCGAAAGAGAGGCCAGCATCAGAGACTTCTCACCTTGGAGAGCACAAAGCGGTCGTTGCTGCGGTGGCCTGGCTGGTCCGGCTTGTAGCGCATGGTGTGGAAGAAGAGCGCAGACATGATCTCGGCCGCACTGCAGCAGGAGGTGGGGTGGCTGGAGCGAGAGGGCGGGAGGCAAACGGTGAGAAAACGGCAGCGACAGGAAGGAGGAAGGAGCAGCCTCGCTGGTCAAAGTGAAACCTGCCCAAGTCAGTCCGTGGCAAAGCAAGGACTCGCCTGCGTCCTAAGCATAGTGTATGCCAAGCCCCAGGTTGCAAGTTTATTATTATTATTTTTAAAAATATTTTTTTTAACCAACAACCAAAACAAAAACAGAGAAAACAAACAGTGAAAACCCCCAGGCGGCTGATACATTGGGTATACATAATCAATATTCAAATCAACCATATGTACAATTCTATATACCTTAACACTCCTCCCTCCACAAGATTTAACCTTTAACATTTTAATTGCCCCAAATTGTTCAAACCTGCCCAAATAATTCAATATTTTCTCAAGCCAATCCTCCTCCTTCTCACTGACCTTAGACCCTTTCATTTCACAGTTAGATCATAGCTGTCAATGCTTCCCTTTTTTTAAAGGGAAATTCCCTTATTCCGAATAGGATTCCTCGCAAGAAAAGGGGAAAGTTGACAGCTATGAGTTAGATATTCTAATATTTTTCAATTTTTCCCTCCATTGGTTCACTCCTAGCTCTTCTGCATTTTTCCAATTACTCGCTATAACCTGTCTGGCTGCAATTACCATAAATTTTACACATTTACATTCCTCTTTTGTTTCTAACTCAGTGCTACTCAGGCTAATAAGAACCATTAATTTAGATATTTCCACCTCCCTACCCTCAATTCCTCATATTTCTATACTAATCTGTTCCCAGGTTGCAAGTGGTCAAAGGACCCCAGTAAAATAAAGCTGCTCTTTAACCCAAAGGCTACAGCAACTGCAGTGAAACCCAGTTCCTAGGCCGAATAAAAAGAATTTAACCCCTGTGTTGCAAACAATAGTCAGTGCAAACCTAAATTTATGCAAACATAACTTTATGACCACTGCTCCATAGCAATTGTTGTTAAGCCTTTCCATTCACCATATAGATGGAGTATGTACCTTCGGTTTTATTTCACATTATAGTTTATGTGTATAGTTCAAGATATTTCGAATTTATTGTAGTTACCATGCATTGTTTTAATATTCTTTTATTGTTTTAATATTCTTTTATAGTTTATGAAGCATGGGAGGGAAGTGATGGCAAGTCCTCTTCCTTGCACCCCAGGGGTTCGAACTGCTGGTCTCTGGCCTGATCTAGCAGACACTTCTTATTGCCCTCCATACCTCCCCAAATCATCCCACAATTAGAAAAACTACAGGGTCCCCATGAATTACCCAGAGTTTGAGGCGCAGGTGGCGCGGATGGAGTGAATCCGAAGGCGATTGGCAGCATCCCGAAGGGTCTGCAAGGTCTTCTCCTCCAGCTTAGGGTAGCTGCTGGCCATGCTGATGTCCAGGCGCTGAAGAGATTGCCTCCTTCGCTCTCGTGTCCTTGTGTCCCGGTTTTCCGCCTGCAGGAGGATTCAAGATTGGAAGCAAACAAGAGGCGGGCGAGATAGGCAGAGATCAGATCATCCCACAATTGGCAGCAGACGGGTGCATTGCACAAGGCCAGCACTGTCTGCAGGCGTGGAGAGCAGTCGGCTGCAGCCGAGCACGTGATCCTGGCCTGTTTGCATTCTGGAGCCAGACTCATGATCTCTGACCAGCCGCCCACCCTTCCCACACACCCACTCCTGGCCTTGTGATAGGAATTTTGAGGTCTTAGATATATTAAATGTTCATAAATGTATCAAGCAAGCACATACATAGATCAGCACAGGAAGACCGACCTGAAACCATTTTGATTCCCAAACTGAGCAAATGTTTTCCCTGCAAGGAGGGAGGGGGGTCAGGGAGCCTTCCCATTGTCTCAGGAATTGAGTAATCAGCATTTTAATGGGTGACAGACCATCAGGAAAGGCATGCAGATAACCTGGCAAACAGGGAAAACAACATTCAAATTTCTGTTTTAGACGGCCTTTTCTGTCATGTAGGTATGATGTATCGGGGGTGGTCTTGATCTAAAGGTAAAGGGAACCCTGACCATTAGGTCCAGTCGTGGCCGACTCTGGGGTTGCGGTGCTCATCTCGCTTTATTGGCTGAGGGAGCCAGCGTACAGCTTCCGGGTCATGTGGCCAGCAGGACTAAGCCGCTTCTGGCGAACCAGAGCAACGCACGGAAACGTCGTTTACCTTCCCGCCGGAGCGGTACCTATTTATCTACTTGCACTTTGACGTGCTTTCAAACTGCTAGGTTGGCAGGAGCTGGGACTGAGCAACGGGCGTTCACCCCGTCGCGGGGATTCGAACCGCCGACCTTCTGATCAGCAAGCCCTAGGCCAGGGGTGTCAAATTCAAATTCATCGGGGGCCGCATCAGCAGTTTGGTCACCCTCAAAGGGCCGGTTCGAGTTCGAGTGTCTTCAAAGCCCATGACACCTTTAACAGCTGGATTAAGTAATGCAGAGCTTCTGGCTCATGGAACACTACACCTTGATTTCATTTGAATACATATATGAATATAAAAATTGTTTCCTGTTTGGCTTGGTGTTTAAGTTACACAAGATGTGCAGGTTTTAATTTTTCTCATTCCCCAAATTTTAATCGAGCATTTGTTTGCGGGAACTGATGGCCAGACCCTGTAATAACATTGAGGAAAAAATTGCATGAAATAAACCAATTCCTTATCAGCTTTTTTTCCATATATAAACCAATATAAACCAATTCCTTATCAGCTTTTTCCCCATATATAAACCAATATAAACCAACTCCTTATCAGCTTTTTTTCCATATATAAATTTTTGCAACACGCACCCTGCGGAAGCCGCGCCTGACGTTATTTACGTATCAAATTTGCTTTTGAATCGCGAATCCCCAGAGGCAGAGGATGCTGTTCATTGGGCAGCGCGGAAACGCGCCTAAAGAAATAAATAAAGAAAAGAAAAGCAAAAGCACGCTGCCCCGAGTATTCACAGGGCGCGCTCCTGAAACACAAGCGCGCTCTCAGTCTCCCTCTCTCCAACGCGCGCGAAGCCGGCTCTGCCCTTCTCCGCGTTCCACCTCGCGCAGGCGCGCTGCGCTCCCGCCGGGACTTATTTCACCCCGGCGAGCCCGAAAAGAAGTTGAGAGCAGCGGCGGCAGCCTCCCATATCCAACCCCGCCCTCGCCGTGTCAAATAAGTCTCGGCTAGGTAGCTGGAGGAGGGGGAGGTCTGCGCCTGCGCAGAAGGGACCCGAGGCGCCCTGCGCGCGCGCCGCAGCCCAAGCTTCCCTCACAGATATATATAGACCAGGCTACACGGGCCACATTGATGAGGTCTCGCGGGCCGGATTCGGCCCGCGGGCCTTGTGTCTGACACCCGTGCCCTAGGCTCTGTGGTTTAACCCACAGAGCCACCCACGTCCCATTTGGTCTTGATCTACAGGGTGGCAATTTCAACAGTCTTTATAAGGCCTTGCGCGCCATTGTTCTGGGTTCCTCCTTTCCTGTGTGTGAGGGGAGCACCCTGTTGCAACAGATCAATAAAGATCAGGCTTACTAGCTGCTTTCCTTCTCAATATTCTCTGGTTGGCCTCTGTTATTTTCTCCTACCAATAGGGAACCTATGTAAGGACTCTATATGGGCTCTTGGATACCCCATAAGGGAAAAAGGGCAGATTTTTGTTTACAGCAATTCTCAAACTGAGCAAATGTTTTCTCTGCAAGGTCAAAGGAAAATGGAAAAGCCTCCCCATTGTCTTTTCCTTCACAAATCCTGCCTTAAGGGCACATTTAAGATATGAATAGGGTGTGAGGCTGTGACCTTTAAGCAGAGGCTTGACAACCATATGTCAGGAGTGCTCTGATGGTGTTTCCTGCTTGGCAGGGGGTTGGACTCGATGGCCCTTGGGGTCTATTCCAACTCTATGATTCTATGATTCTAGGAACTAAGTATTTATCATTACAAAAGACTGGCCAGGCTCCTCAGGCAATCTAATCAAGTGACCATTAAAAGGTAACCTGCCAGACAGGAGATAAACAACGCACTCAGATTTCTGTTGTAGACCACCCTTTCTGTGATGTAGGTATGATGATTCTGGGGGTGGTCTTGGACTGCAGGGCGGGCAATTTAAATTGCCTTGCGCTCCATTGTTCTGGGTTCCTCCTACCTCCTGCATGTGGTGAGTGTAGATCCTGTTGCAACAGATCAATAAAGATCAGGCTTATGAGCTGCTTTGCTTCTCAATATTCTCTGGTTGGCCTCTGCTATTTTTTCCGACCGATGGAGAACCTACAAAGGACTCTATAAGGGCTCTTGTGTCCCCCCATAAGGGAATAAGGGCAGATTTTCGTTTATTACAGTTGCAAAGTTTTTAGCTGGGGCAATCAGAAGAAGATCCACCATTTGACTATTGATTCCAAACCCCAAAATGTATTTTATATAATTGACTTTTATTTCTATTCTTTGTATATTGTTTTATTGCTATGGATGACGGCTGACATAAATATTCATTCATTCTTGTCTGCCCAGCCAACATTGGAACCTACGTAAGGACTCTATATGGGCTCTTGGATACCCCATAAAGGAAAAAGGGCAGATTTTGCTTACAGCACCCCTGGTCCCAAGGCTTGTGAAAGGCACCCAGTGGGCGATGATGGAACCTCCCACCTCCAAGGTGGAGGTGAAACTAGAATCACTATTGCAAAAAGTTGCCACCGGCTCATTGATCTCCTTGCACAAACCAGAGCGGAATTTGGCCCTGATCTCCGCTTGCAACATTAGCAAGCGATAGGATCTGCAAGCAACTCCCTTGGGGAAAACTGAGCCGGGTAGAAGCAGTTTTTGTGGTCAAAAAATACAATAAAAGCGGAGCTGGAAAACCATTATTATTATTATTATAATTATTATTATTAGCCACCCATCTGACTAGGTTTCCCCAGCCGTTCTGGGCAATTCCAACAAAATATTAAAACACACACACACAAAAAACCCTTGTCTTCCTGATAGCTACAAAGGTGTTTTTTTTAAGTGCCAGGCAGGAAAAAGTTTGTCCTAAATCTATGAGAAAAGGCCTTGGGGTGTAGAGAAGACGTCTTTATTCTGCTTTATTGAGGCAGGGAGGGTTAAGAAATTAACTTAGCTTTGGGGCTTTTCTGGTGGGGGCTTCAAGCCACTGAAACTTCTTGTTGAGTCACTACAAGAAGTTTTGCAAGGAGAAATATACGAAACGTTCCAAAGTATAAAAAGAATAGAGATATCAGTTATGAGATGTAATAGGGAAAGTAAGAAATGTATACTAAGAGATTAGATGGGAAAATTTTCAGACAGGATTGCTGGAAGTCAAAAGAATTGTATAGGATGTAAAAGTATGTTTAATTACTGTTGAAAACGGTATGTTAAAAAACTAATAAAAATTTATATATATTTAAAAAAGAAACTTCTTGTTGAGTAACTGGGGGTGGGGGGCGTGTTGATGGGGAAAAGGGGGCATTTTAGGTCATCGCCTCTTTTTTAACAGTTCCAGGAGGAGCCTGATCATCTTTTGTTGAAATTTGGAAGACAACGAGGCCACGATCTGCAACTGCCACCCAGCTTTGCATCGACTGAGCTGTTTGCAATGGAGGCACCCATCTTGCCTCCCCAGGCAGGAGAGCTTCCTGCCTCAGGCACAGTCTACCTTAGCAAAAAAAACTCATATTTTTTTTCTTTTAAAGGGGTACCTTCGCAGCCACATTTTAAACCTTATCCTAACCGGTGGGGTGTGTGACCTTGCAAGTGACCTGGCTTTTTTCTGGCCCATGTAGGACCTGTCTGGAAAGTTGGCCTTGGTGGAGATTTGACGTTTTCATCCCCCAAAAGTTTTTGTTTTGAGTTTCTACTGAAATGAGGCTGCATTTTAATGTTGCATTTTAATCTGGTTTTAAGTTGTATTTTTTTTTTAATTTTGAAAAGTTTTTATTATTAAAATAATTCAGCATTAATACACACATATTGCGAACATACAAGCATACATACATTTCATACAATCCTTAAAAATGTTCAAACATGCCTACACTCAATCCCACAGATCATTCCTTTTCCCTCACCCCACCTTTGTGTTAGACTTCCCATCTAGTCAATTGCAGTTTCTTTCCACTTCTATTTCTTTCTTTCTATTACTTTCTTTCTGATTTGAGTTCCTACTGAAATGAGACTGCATTTTAATGTTGTATTTTAATCTTGTTTTTAAGTTGCATTTTGATCAATTGTTTTTATACTTGGTGTTAGACGCCCTGAGCATGGTCTTGGCTGGGGAGGCCGGGGGATAAATAAATTATTATTTATTATTATTATTATTGTTATTATTATTATTTGCAATGCACCAGATCTGCAATGCACGAGGCTGCCCCCTCCCAGCTCTGCCCCCTCCAGCAACTTTGCTCCATCCCCTGGGATTAAATCCCCATTTTTATTTTTTGCAAAAAAGAGAGACAAAGATCCGCTCCTGCTCACCTGGACGCAGCCGCCCTCCAAGCACGTTTCTTCAGCCCAGGAGGCAAGTGGCGCAGGCGCAGGAAGCAGGGCGGGCTGCTTACCACCGAGTCCACAGGCGCAGACGGGCCGTTCCCCAAGCCGGAGGCGGGACTTCCGGGCTGCTTTTGAAGCCAATCCTCCCCTCTTGCCCACAGGGCGGAAGTGGCCACCAGATATCCCAGGAAACAGCAGTAGATAGCCAAGATTCATTCATTCATTCATTTTATTTCATAAAATTTAATGCACTACTTGAGTCTGAGTTTCTACTTGAGTCTGTACAGTGTAGGCTAGATGATATAATCATATTGGGTTGTTTTTGTTTTTATTGTATATTTCATGTTTTTATGTTGTGATTTAGAGTCATAGAGTTGGAAGAGACCACAAGGGCCATCGAGTCCAACCCCCTGCCAAGCAAGAAACACCATCAGAGCACTCCTGACATATGGTTGTCAAGCCTCTGCTTAAAGACCTCCAAAGGAGGAGACTCCACCACACTCCTTGGCAGCAAATTCCACTGTCAAACAGCTCTTACTGTCAGGAAGTTCTTCCTAATGTTGAGGTGGAATCTTCTTTCTTGTACTTTGGATCCATTGCTCCGTGTCCGCTTCTCTGGAGCAGCAGAAAACAACCTTTCTCCCTCCTCTATGTGACATCCTTTTATATATTTGAACATGGCTATCATATCACCCCTTAACCTCCTCTTCTCCAGGCTAAACAAGCCCAGCTCCCTTAGCCGTTCCTCATAAGGCATCGTTTCCAGGCCTTTGACCATTTGGGTTGCCCTCCTCTGGACACGTTCCAGTTTGTCAGTGTCCTTCTTGAACTGTGGTGCCCAGAACTGGACACAGTACTCCAGGTGAGGTCTGACCAGAGCAGAATACAGTGGCACTATTACTTCCCTTGATCTAGATGCTATACTCCTATTGATGCAGCCCAGAATTGCATTGGCTTTTTTAGCTGCCGCGTCACACTGTTGGCTCATGTCAAGTTTGTGGTCAACCAAGACTCCTAGATCCTTTTCACATGTACTTTTATCCTGCGAACCGCCCTAAGACCTGCAGGTGACGGCAGCATCCAAATTTAACAAATAACAACAACAATAATAGTGTATAAGCAATAAACAGTGCTATGTACGACAACAGGTTTACAGAAAGATGATCCACTTTTCTTTTTGGAACAACTCACTTGGTAAAACCATTTACAATATTTTCTTTGCTTGAAACCTGATTTGTAAATTTGATTTATTTATATACATATATACATTCTTATTATTTTATAGAATAAATAAATGCCCAACTATACAAGCAGGAATTAAAGTAGAGGTGCAGACATCTATGATTAGAAGAGCTTATATGAAGCTGAAGACCTGCATAATGTTAGAACAGGGATCTGAAGCAGCAAAACAAGGAAGACTTATTTCTAAGTCAAGGCAATGTCAACCCATGTTGAGCTCTTGTTTTTTGGAACTCATTGTATATCACCTGATATTAGACACAGACCCACAGTGTTAATTTTTACGCATGTACAGTACTTCCACGGAGTAAAGTAAAAAAAGTAAAGGGTCCCTGAACAGTTAAGTCCAGTCTATGGTGACTATGGGGTTGTGGCACTCATCTTGCTTTCAGGCCAAGGGAGCGGGCGTTTGTCTGCAGACAGCTTTCCGGGTCTAAAGCGCTTCTGGTGCAACGGGACACCATGACAGAAACCAGAGCAGCACACGGAAACACCGTTTACCTTCCCACCGCAGCAGTACCTATTTATCTACTTGCGCTGGTGTGCTTTTGAACTGCTAGGTTGGCAGGAGCAGGGACCGAGCAACGGGAGCTCACCCCATTACGCGTATTCGAACCGCTGACCTTCTGATCGGCAAGCCCAAGAGCCTCAGTGGGTTAAATCACAGCACTACCTGCGTCCCATTTCCACCGAGTAATGTGCCTTAACTCATGCCAGCTATCACAGGCAAACAGCACAAAGCAGGATGTCTCTCTGAAACATGCGTGATATTGAACCAATGGATTCAAGTTACAAGAAATGAGATTCTGACTCGACAGGAAGAACTTTCTGAGGGCAAGAGCCGAGGGTAAGAACAGTGGAACGGACTCCCTTAGGACTCTCCATCCTTGGAGATTTCTAAGAAGTTGGATAGCCATCCATCGTGTATTATTAACTGAGATTCCTGCATCACTAGATGACCCTCAATGGCCTTTCCAACTCTATGATTCTCTAATTAACACTACAGCTGTACCTTAGAAGTCGAGTGGAATCCGTTCCGGAAGTCCGTTCGACTTCCAAAATGTTCAAAAACCAAAACACGGCTTCTGATTGGCTGCATGAAGCTCCTGCAGCCAATCAGAAGCTGCGGAAGCCTCATCGGATATTTGGCTTCCAAAAATAGTTCACAAACTGGAACAGTCACTTCCGGGTTTGCGGAGTTCGGGAGCTAAACGATTCAAGAACTAAGCTGTTCAAAAACCAAGGTATGACTGTATTTCAGTTTGAAGTGAGTTTACTAACTAATTTGAGAGCACCAATCACACCATTTTCATCGATCTCTAGAAGCTGACTCAATGAGTTATGTGTCGCCTTTAGCTCATGACCTTTGCCACTACATTTTATATCTGCAGAACAATAAAAGGAATTGCAGGTGTTGGTGCTAATTTCTACTATTAACACCATTCTGTCTACAACCATACGTGAAATAAGTAAAATAACCAAGCAAGTATTAGAAATCACCCCAGAATTGGCCCTACTAAACATCTCCCAAGACAATAATGCCCATTTACACCACAAAGAACTCATAACCCACCTATTTTCAGCAGCCAGAAACATCATAACCAGACACTGGAGAGACCTGTCAGGAGTAAGCATGGGCCAATGGTACCAAATAGTATGGGAAACAGCCCTACTAGAAAAATTAACTAATAAACTGAAAACTGACACGGGGACAAACAGAAGAAGATGGCTCCCCTTTATCACATACACAGCCCTACAAGACAATGACAAAAATCCACCAACAGCATACAAATCAATACAGTGGTACCTCGCAAGACGAATGCCTCGCAAGACAAAAAACTCGCTAGATGAAAGGGTTTTTTGTTTTTTGAGCTGCTTCGCAAGACGATTTTCCCTATGGGCTTGCTTCGCAAGACGGAAACGTCTTGCAAGTTTGTTTCCTTTTTCTTAACACCGTTAAGACAGTTGCGACTTGACTTCGAGGAGCAACTCATAGAACGCGGTGTGCTAGCCTTTTTGAGGTTTTTGAAGACTTTGGTGATTTTGGAAGCTTTTCCAAAGCTTTCCCGACACCGTGCTTCGCAAGACGAAAAAAATCGCAAGACGACAAAACTCGCGGAACAAATTAATTTCGTCTTGCGAGGCACCAATGTATGGCTAACCTGATCCAAAACACCCACCCACCCTCCTCACACACGAAAACAAAGACCACCACAGCCGACTACAAATGAATAACCACACCCATGGCCAACCCCAACCTCTCTTACCACCAAACGAACACAAGTGAACAGCAAAGAACCTGCACAAGCAACGCTGACACCAAACCCCACATATATTAAGTAAAATAGAAACATCACCACCCGACCCCACTCATCTTTCCCTCCCTCCACCTCTTCCCCCCTTTTCTTCCTAATGTTTCAACAAATGAAACTGATTTGTAAAAATGTTACATGGGGGGGGGGAATACGAGAGAGAGAGACATTGCACACACTTTTGTAAATCAAGAAAATCTTTAATAAAAGAAATAAAAATAAAATAAAAACCATTCTGTCTGACCAAACAGTGACCTTTGCATCTCGCTCCCATTACTCCTCAGTAAAGGAAGCTAAACTGGAAAAGGGAATTTTTGCACGGCATTTATTAATGGATGAAACAATTGACAGAGCACAGCTTGACTTCTATAATTGGCATTGCCGACAGACTTTTACTACACGGGTTTCATTTTTTCCTTTTGTGACTGCGATGCTTGCCTTCATGTCTGAAAGAAAACGAAAAACATCATTATGTAAGTCTTTAGCACTCCCGATACAAAGCGACCCAAATCCCTCAGAAATCTACCCTTATTTTCCATGAAGACTGTGGCTCAACCCTTCTATCCTCATCCCCATTGAGATGAAGCTGAGATACACAGCACTGCCTCCACTTCCATTCCTTGTTACTCTGGCATCACACAAACTCCACCCAACAACTGTAAATATTCTGTTAGTAAGATATTTTAGGTATGGGTATTCCCTTTTTGGCTATTCTTAGGCCAAGCTACATATCACACAGAAAATCCATTTTAACCCAATTGCAACTGCAGGAATTTGAACTTGCTTTCGGCTGCATGGAGGTAAGTTTTAAACTCTTTGACACCTATGCCATTTAGAAAATCGCTCCCAATTCCTACACAAATTGCTGTTTGCACCTTAGAGAGAGAGAGAATATGGTATTTTTCTCTAATAGGGCAAACTTGCTTTGAATTATTTTTAATGTTGTTTTTCTTGTTGCAACCTGCCCTGGAACCTTGGGATGAAGGTCAGGTAATAAATACATTAACAACAACAACTTACGGCTGGAGCATGGTGTACGAAATTTTGAGACACACACACGAGATAGGTACATGTATTTGAAAGGTAAAGGGACCCCTGACCATTAGGTCCAGTCGTGGCCGACTCTGGGGTTGCGGCGTTCATCTCGCTTTATTGGCCGAGGGAGCCGGCGTACAGCTTCCGGGTCATGTGGCCAGCAGGACTAAGCCGCTTCTGGCGAACCAGAGCAGCTCATGGAAATGCCATTTACCTTCCCGCCGGAATGGTACCTATTTATCTACTTGCACTTTGACGTGCTTTCGAAGTGCTAGGTTGGCAGGAGCAGGGACCAAGCAACTGGAGCTCACCCCATCGCGGGGATTCGAACCGCCGACCTTCTGATCGGCAAGTCCTAGGCTCTGTGGTTCAACCCACAGCGCCACCCGCGTGCCTTGCACGTATTTAGGATAGCGCAATAAAGTGCATAACATGTGCCTTAGCCCTTGAAGAGCTGTGCAGATGTTACAGACAAGTCTAGGAGGGGTAAAATAAAGAA